GGAGCTTGCAGTGAGCCGAGATCACGCCACTGCACTCCAGCCTGGTGACAGGGCAAGACTCTGTCTCAAAAAAAAAAAAAAATTACATTAAATGTATGATTCTATTTATATAAAATATCCTGAATAGACAAATCTATAAAGCAAAAAGTAGATTACTAGTCACCTAGGAGTGGGGAGGAAGAGGACTGGGGAAATGCTAATGAGTATAGGATTTATTTGGGGGATGATGAAAATGTTCGAAAACTGACTAGAATGATCATCAACTCTGTAAATATACTAAAAAGCACTTAACTGTACATTTTAAATGGTGATCTGGCATAATTATATGGTACATAAATAATATAAATAATATATTTTTTCTTTGGAGACAGGGTCTTGTTCTGTAGCCCAGGTCAGAGTGCAGTGACGCAATCATGGCTCACGGCATCCTCAACCTCCCAGGCTCAAGCGATCCTCTCGCCACAGCCTCCCAAGTAGTTGGGACCACAGCCATGTGCCACCACCCGTGGCTAATTTTTATATTTTTTATGGAGACGGGGTTTCACCATATTGCTCAGGCTGATCTCGAATGCCTGGGCTCAAGCAATCCGCCCATCTTGGCCTCCCAAAGTGCTGCAATTACAGGCATGAGCCACTGCACCCAGCTATACGTTATATCTTAATAAAGCTATTTTTTAAAAATTCATGATTAAAATTTTTTTTACAAGTCTTCTAAGAAGATAATTTCCCTAACTAGATAAAGGGTATTTATTAAAGACAACAGGGAACATGATGCTTACTGGCAAAACATTCCAAGTTCTCCCTGTGTGATCGAAGGAGGGTCCCGGCCAGTCCAGTGAGACAAGAAAAAAACAAAAGGTAATTGGAGAAAGAAAAGTAATATGAAATGCACAGAAAAATCAAGAAGATTCTATAGAAAAAAATTTTTGCAACCAGCAAAACTTTAGCACAGATGCTAGTCACAAACTCATTATCCAAAAATCAGGCCAGGCACAGTGGCTCACACCTGTAATTCCAGCACTCTGGGGGGCCGAGGTGGGTGGATCACCTGAGGTCGGGAAGCAGAGGTTGCAGTGAGCCGAGATCGCACCACTGCACTCCAGCCTGGGTGACAGAGTGAGACTCCGTCTCAAAAACAAAAACCAAAACATAAAACACAAAAATCAACTGCGTTTCTTTTTTGTTTTTTTGTTTGTTTGTTTTGAGACGGAGTCTCGCTCTGTCGCCCAGGCTGGAGTGCAGTGGCCGGATCTCAGCTCACTGCAAGCTCTGCCTCCCAGGTTTACGCCATTCTCCTGCCTCAGCCTCCCCAGTAGCTAGGACTACAGGCACCCGCCACCTCGCCTGGCTAG